ACTTAAATCATGACTTTCAAGTTCCAACAGGCACTCATCTCTAAGCAAAATCCATTCCTTCAACCATACAAAAGGGATCATGATAAAATTTAAAATTAGGGATGTACAAGCTGCTTCGTTCCTTAGCATTATACAGTATTTTAATTTTATTCTGCATTTCTTTGTCTGCCAAACAAATCTGGACTTTTTTTTCCCTGCCATTCCTGTGTAGACTCTCTGCAGGCTCACACGTGCACTCCAAGAAATATTGTTATTTTTATGGTTTCTTTCTTGTGTTCCATAAGGTATGAACTCTAAGCAAAACAATTCCCATACTCTTGGAATTTGTATGGCTTCTCTCCTGTGTGGACTCGCCAGTGGATTACAAGGTTTGAATTTTGAGAAAAGCATTTCCCACACTCCTGGCACTTATATGGTTTCTCTTTTGTGTGGACTCTGTGGTGACTCACATGGTTTGAACTTGTAGAAAAACATTTCCCACACTCCAAGCACTTGCATGGTTTCTCTCCTGTGTGAACTCTCTTGTGTCTCACAAGGCTTAAATTTGTAGAAAAACATTTCTCACACTCCAGGCATTTGTATGGTTTCTCTCCTGTGTGGAGTGTCTGGTGGGTCACAAAGTGTGAACTGCGGGCAAAACATTTTCCACACTCCTGGCACTTGTATGGTTTCTCTCCTGTGTGGATTCTCTGGTGACTCACAAGGTTTGAACTCTGAGCAAAACATTTCCCACACTCCATGCACTTGTATGGTTTTTCTCCTGTGTGGGTTCTCTGGTGACTCACAAGGTTTGAACTATGAGCAAAACACTTCCCACATTTCAGGCACTTATATGGTTTGTCTCCTGTTTGGGGCCTTTGGTGGTCTAAAAGAGATGACTTGTGAGCAAAAGATTTCCCACACTCCAGGCATTTGTATGGTTTGTCTCCTGTGTGGCTTCTTTGGTGGCTCAGAAGAGATGAATTGTGAGCAAAACATTTCTCACACTCCAGGCATTTGTATGGCTTGTCCCCTGTGTGGGTTCTTTGATGGTCGAGAAGAGATGACTTGTGAGCAAAACATTTTCCACACTCCTGGCACTTATATGGTTTCGCTCCTGTGTGGATTCTCTGATGGACTATAAGCTCTGACTTCCGAGCACAACATTTCCCACAATGTTGGCATCTATATGGTTTCTCTCCTGTGTGGATTCTGTAGTGGCCCACGAGGCTTGAATTTGTAGAAAAACATTTCCCACAATCTTGACATTTATATGGTTTCTCACCTGTGTGGACTCTCCTGTGCCTCACAAGGTATGAACTCTTAGCAAAACATTTCCCACATTCCTGGCACTTGTATGGCTTCTCTCCTGTGTGGATTCTCTGATGAACCACTAATTCTGTTCTGCCAGCAAAGTGTTTCCCACACTCCTGGCATTTATGTGTTTTCTTTCCTTTATGGACTGCTTGATAGCTCAGTTCGGGCAAATTATAATCTAAACCTTCTCCTGAGAGTTTACATCTAATGTCTTTTTTTCCAGCACAGAGTATCGTGTGAAGTACAAGTGCCATATTCTGGGCAAAAAACTTCCCACACATGTTGCACTTGAAAGGTTTCTCTCTGGTAGAACCTTCCTCCTCTGTATGGGCTTCCTGGTGTTTGGTAAGCTCACATTTTTGGCCAAAACACTTGCCACATTTTGCACGTACATTTTTCTTACTCAAGTTATCTGTTGGGAAGAAGGAGAAAAATAGAAAATAATCTTTCCTCAGTGTGAGTGAAAATGACTCTCAGGGAGGAGAAAAAGGACTGAAAGAAAGGGGGGCAGGACTATTGATCAGAGAAGCTTTTGGAGGAATGTCTGATGGAAGGGGGATTTCCCAGTTGGATTCCATTGGAATTTAGGACTCAGGAAAGATGGAAACTGACTGTCCAGAGCCTCTAAGGCAAAGGCATGCAACAGGTGCTCCACAGGCCACCCATTTCCTAACCCTGTCTGGTTTTTTACTGTGCCCTCTTCTCTCTGGGGGAAAGGGTATCTGTTGTATTTTCACATTAAATTCTATGAGTAAGAATTTACTTTGCTACAAACAATGTCATCATACTTCTTCCCTATTTATTTCTCTGCTCCAATATCCAGTTTTCTCCCTTATGTCCAGTTGGTTGGGTTTTCCTGCTGCAACATAGAAGGATTCATGCCTCATTTTCCACAACATCCCACACTGGATGGGAGAAAAGAGGTGGACTTGTGTGTCTACAGCAGGGGTAGGCAACCTTTCCCCTTTAAGGGCGAGGGGCTTCAGCTCCCAGAAGCCTCAGCCATGTTTGCCCATAGTCGCATGTTGGCCAAAATCTCCTGGGATTCTGGGAGCTGAAGTCCCTCGGCCCTTAAAAGGGAA